TATGGACATTGGCCAACTATCAATACATTTGTTACTTTGATACATGTTACTGATCTTACTCTTTCCTATGATAATAACAAATGGTCGCCAAAAAGTAGTTTATTTCTTTTCCGTCAGTCCTTCTGCCGTCTATGCCTTTTATAGGGATGACGTTGGAAGATCACACACATACTAGAATGGCTGAACACTGAAACACCAACACCTGGCCTTGGACAGTCCAAAGGTTACCTACATAACCTTTATAGGTTGTGTGTCAGTTTTCAGTGTAGGTCAAGGTGCTGTATTTAGTGCCTTGATTTTGTCTCTGTCATAAGGTCAACATTTATTGCCAGATTGACCCAGATCACAAAACTTGATGTAGCAGGCAAGTACAGTGAGTGTTTTGAATAGCTTGATTCAGTTGTGCTGGGACCACCAACTGTTTAGGCCTGTCTTGTCTACGATGCCAGCAAGAAGGTGTGTGCATCAAAGTGCCGGTTCATATAGGATCACCATCAGAGGTTTGATGCTTAGGCCCTGTCCCTGGGTAGAATAGGTCTTCAGTAACCCATGCTTGCCGTAAAATGCCACTATGCTTGTGTAAGAGGCGACTAACGGGATCAAATGGTCAGGCTCGCTGACTTGGTTGATGCATGTCATTGTGTCCCAATTGCGTGGATCGATGCTCATGATGTCAATCACTGGATTGTCTGGTCCAGACTCGATTGTGTACAGACCGCCGTCATATAGCTGGAATGTTGCTGAGTGCGGCAAACAAACAAACAAATAAATCATAGGCTCTGAGAGTAATCACAGCATCGTAACAGACATTAAGTCATTGATTTGACCATCTGGACTGTGTGAGACAACAGTGGCAACTACCCGTACTGTCGTGTGCTTGTGTTATTTACCGTGGGGATATTTTCCTACATACATCAGATTTTACTGCCGTAACTTTCATAAGGCATTAAGGATTTTGAAGTACGATAATATAACGCATTTCAAGGCTACATAATATCATTGTAAAAAATACCTGCCTGCCCGACCGTCTGAGGCGGTCTATTATACTGACAGACATTCAGTTTTGAAACATTGCACCGGATGGTCGCGAGTTGAAGTTACTAAGTTGACAATCCACCAGTTTATTGTTATTTTCTGAGAACTAACATTAAATAATACCATTCTTTTGTTACTTTTGTTCGTTACTCTGGAAAACTCTGTGGACTTTGCAAAGTTGCCAATCGAGTTGTCTGACTGAAATTTTAGGGAATTTTATACACTGAAACTATACACGTATCCTATGGAGGACTGATGCTTTTTCAATATTTGACTGGTTGGTTGATGGATATATGAACTGCTCCTATAGTGCCATCAGTGACATCAGCAGGATGTGCACACAGTGTCGTGTAAATTTTAAAGCAGAACAATGCAGCACCGCGTGAGCGGTGTCCTATAAATGCCCTGTGCAGCACAACGTAGAACTGTATAAAGTGGATCCATAGCACTTGATTGCAGTGTTTGAAATAAAAAGAAATGTCAGGCTGCCATCAGGCCCTCATTTTAAAAAAACCTGCAGCTTATTCTTACAAATAAATAAACACGTAAATTTACTACAGGCCATAAGGATTCATACAAACTTGGAACTATGGCCGACACTAGACCCACTGGCCACGGACCTAGGCGCTTATTTCGAACACTGCTTCATTAACTAACAAATCAATTTTCTTTCCCATACACCAAGAAACAATTAGGCCAACGTTATTAGTAGACAACTATGTCCTGATTGGCTAATAACAGGATGGGCGGGGCTTGTGCATCTTCTCGACGCAAGAGAGTTAACTGACTTGAAGAGTCCAGTTTCCACCCTTGCCGAAATAGGCTGGTATTATGGAGTTACATTCTGGCTGGACTAACGAGTCTATCCATAGTCCGATCAAAATATCGCAACGAAATCGAAATGAGGTTCGTAAACTGTCGGGCAGATTTCGGTCGATTGCAGGATTTGCAAAGCATGTGCACCGCCAACTCGTTGTCAACAGATATTTTCCAAATCTTTTCATGTTTTTAATCAAGGTGCTCACGCATTTCGCGATGTAAGACCCGTTTTATCACAACATAGACCTTGATTATCGATCAGATCGTCTTGACTGGGCGCCACCATTTTGTTTGAAGCAAATGCAAGTGTTACGAGAGGTGGAATCTGATTAGTCTAAAGCAGAGGCTTAGAAGGGACATAACTCGTAATATCCACTGGTGGCGCTACGATAGAGCCCAGGAATTCCAGCCAGGTTCGGCAAGGGTGGAAACTGGACTTTTAAAGTCAGTTAACTCTCTTGCCTCGGCCTAAACAACCACCTAAAACAACTTAAAAGACACACCACGGGCAACTGCCCCCACTGCAAACAACCCGAAACCACAGAACACGCACTCATCCACTGCACCCACTACCAAACACACAGAACCACACTACAAACCAACCTCAATCTAAATAAGGTTCCTACTCTAGATGAAATACTAAACCCTCAAAATAAACTAGAAAACTTCAAGGCCCTAGGCGTATTCCTAATCAAAACAGGCCTAATTAAGCGCATCTAAAAACTAATTAATCTACCAATCCAAAATCCAATAAACATACAAACACCCACCTCACCCGGCTCCCTTAGTTCCCTCCTCCACCCACCTCGGCATTTATTCCAAATTTTAGAATTTCAAAAAAATCGATATAAGCAACCCCTAAAAGCCCCCTCTTGGGTTGCACACACCACTTTCACCCTTCTCGGAATACACTAAATGGTCTGGCCAGGCCCGTGTGCGAAATACGCTGCAGTCGGAAAGCGCACGTTAAATCTTCTATATCAGTCAGTCAGTCTTGCCTCGGGAAGATGGGCTTGTGTTGTATGGCACGTTGTATCCACATTGCAAAATCCAGGTTCAAATCTCAACAACAACAAATACAGTAGTAGTACTTCCATACATTTATTATCTTTTCAACATAATATGATATGAGTTTGCATGTAAACAACAGATATTCTAACTAGTAATTCAAATGAAAAACTTGCTCCAAATAAATAAAACTGGACAAATATCACAGAAACAAACTGACATGTTCGCCATCTCTCATTCTTCAAGGTTAAGATACAAAAATACTGTTTGAAGGTTCACGAATATTATGAACTTGTTTTAAAGTGAGCACTTTATTGCTGGCATTATATAAAGAGAAGAAAACAAATAATTATGTGAACTAGTTGGTGCAAATGTGAAAACCTCCACTATGTTTGCACTTTGGCGTTTAATCACTATAACGTGCAAACATAACAAAACACACTACAACTTAACTTTTGAACTTAAAATCATTTCTGTTAAGAGCTGTGTATCAAATTTTGTTGAGTCATGATACAAAATCATAAAACATTTGCCAAAACCAACTTTCTTCAAACAGATAACGGTTTTCCATCAGTGCGATATATTCTCAACCATAAGGCTTAAAAAAATAAGTCTTGGTTCTCAGGCACCGCCTGCATCATCATAAAGTCTGCTGCACTTTTCCTTTTTTATATCAATTTTTTTTAAAAATATAAAATCCTAATACTTAAAAAGAGATCCAATATAGCACGCAGTTACTTCCCTTTACATGCGCACTCCATCTCCTGTTATGGTCATGGCGGCAATAGGAGTAAGGAGTTTGTATGCTTGTTGATGCCAGTTTGATGGGACAAGTTTGAACAAGCCCCAAAAAAACCAAAAAAAACAACACCCACCCACACTATAGTTTCAAAAGTCATGGCCTGAGAACCAATTCTTTTATTTTGTTAAGCCTAACATAAACATACATTTCAATAGACACATTTAACGCAAGTTTCGATGAAACACGAATAAAGACAGGGAACTTCTGTCCTCCATGTATTAATACTGTAACACTTATTGATGAAAATAACAAGATTTGTCCACAAAAATATCTTTGATTCCATGACAGCCCAGGCTGTAACAGTGTAACTGTCAATGCCAACCCAGTTTTCATTTATTCCCTGCTAGTGGTATTGTAGTTCTCAAAAGAGTACAGGTAATTATCTCCCCTTGACTGTACAAGAACGCTCAATGTGAGGTCCATGGCTCAGAGAGAGAAATACCCCTCCTGTAACAAACCTTGAAATGTCAACTGTACAAATACCGTATTCGACGTAATAAGCACCCAGGGCACTCTCAAAATTAAAAATAGGGGGCTCTTATTGGAATATAACTTTGATGAGAAAAAAACCAGACAGCCTGAAATGATACAAAAGAAAAGTCTGTGCGACTTTTACACGACAGATATATTTTCTAGAATTTAATTGCCCATAATTAAGGGTGCATATAACACACGAGCGTGTATTATACACGAATAATTAAGTCTCGAGTACATTGATCAATCGGAAGGGGTGCTAATTGGGATTGTTCACTAGCCAATATATTAGCAAATATCGCCGTGGGCGCTTATTACGTCGAAAACGGTAAGTTTTAATGGTGAGCTGAACAGGTCATGTTTCACACACACAGGATGATTCCTTCGTTTGAATACCTTCATAAAAGTTCTACATTGTAGAATAACACAATGGCTGATAACAAGCTGCTGACACAGGTTCGTCCAAGTGGCAGCAGCGGGACACATGACTTCTGATATACGTCGATGACAGCAGCACGGTGAAATACCAGAGATGTTTCAAATGCGAGATCTCGGTGTGCTACCCATGTTGCCAGGTTTCAACAATGCATTTCAATAGTAAGATTATGATCTGACACATGAACTTTGGAAATTAAATTACCGTAATCAATGTAATAAGCGCCCAGGGCGTTCTCAAAATTAGAAATAGGGGGCTCTTATTAGAATATTATTTTGGTGAAAAAAAAACAGAGTTAAGGATAAATTTCATGGTTTATGCTGACAGCCTGAAATATTTATATATGACAGATACATTTTTCTAGATTTTAATAGCCCAAAATTAAGGGTGCATATAACACATGAGTGTGTATTATACGCGAATAAATAAGTCTTGTGTACATTGATCAATCGGAAGGGGCGCTAATTGGGATTGTTCACTAAGCCAATATATTAGAAATTATCGCCATGGGCGCTTATTAGAGCGGGGCGCTTATTACGTCAAATACGGTAAATTGATAATTGAGAACTCATCTTCATATTTCAGAAAACAGAATATAATCTTTCACACTATCTTCCAAATTGTTCCAGAGAAATAACGGAAAATATCAAAATATTATTGAAATGGAAAAAATAAGCTTTAGTGTTTTGATCATTATGCATGATATCATGATACCTTACTTGTATCATGGCACGAATACTCAATGATCTTTACCGTAGTCGCTGCAATACTGTTCATAAATACCCTATGTGACATATGGGACAAGTCAGGTGGGAGTTTTCAGTAACACACTTTGAAAGCTTGATCAAGTCACACCTGTCAGAAATATATGAAAAATATAATGCTCCAGGTTTTAACCATCTTCACCCAATTGGTTATTACTTAATCGAAGTAGTGAAAAAATAGTTTGTGAAATATAGGAGTGAGCAGATCACACACTAAGACAAACATGTCCATTACGTAGTCCTCATGGTCTGTCAAATACTGTAGGCATCACAGAGAGGATCATGACTACACCGTGTCCAGTAGGGGGATGCCAGTCTGACACTCCACGCTGAGCACTGACAAGTTCTCCCAGCTTCCGAAGTACGGTCCTACGGAACACACAGACACAGAGCATCCTCCCTCCACTGGCACGGCTCCTGCAGCAGGCTGAGGGGACACCTTATTGCATCCTGCTACCATCTTGGCATCTCAACAATATCTACACCTACAAACAACATCAAGAATCACGATCTTGTTTGGCCTTTTTCTTAATTTTCTTAGTTCTTTCCCATCGCACGGTTTCTGCCTCAAGGGCAGACAACTCCATTAGTCTTTGTTGGAACGAAGGCGATGCTCCTGAAACTGGGTCTGTATATTTTGGTTCACCTGGAAATGGAACAAAAAGGTTATTCCTGATTTCAGTGTTAAAGGAAACTGGAAGAATCCGATATTTTCGAACAAGTCTCAGTGTCATCAGATTGAGAGAGTGATTGGTCCATGCAGAAGTGAGTAACACACGATCTATACTACAACACTACCACTATAGTCTAAGTGGTTATCTATTAATTTGTTCCTTTCATATCATTTCTGTATCTGTGTTTCTTGTCGTCTAACATCACCTTTCAGTGTTCTCCAAAACTTGATGTTCAAATCTTAACTTCCATTTTACAAGGAAAACAAGTCAATTTACAAACATCCTAGGTACACTCATTTCACTTTGCCAAAGCATACCATCAACACTGACAGATGAATGATCATTGTCTTCAAATTCTTTTGGTAGTTATGAATTCTCTCCCTGTTCTTCAAAGTAAAAATGGGCATTATTTTTGAGGGGTTGAGAGAGTATATCCTCTGACTAGGCCAAATAAATTGGATCAACCTTGTTCTGGGCCTCGTTCAACAAACCAGACTTAGCACTAAGACAGCTGTATCTCCCATACTTTTACATAGACTTACAACAGTCATAGCGCTAAGGTCGCTTTGAGGAATGGGGGCCCAGGGATTTTAGATTGATTCGGTTTAAATCCTGGACTGTCATCTTTCACCCAGCTACTCACTATCTTTGGCAGTAGATCTGGATGTGGAGAAATTGTTTGGGAAGCCAACACGTGTAGTGGGAGCACTTGGGCCTTTCCGGAGGTTCACATTGGATGTGTTAGACGTGGAAGTAAGAGAGAAAGACTTGGACGTCGTTGTGGACGTTGTTGTGGAGTTGCGTTGTTGTAAGTTCGGACTCCATATTGTGCCCATAGCTACAAGGTCATCGGACTCCCGTCCTGGACAAGGAAAGGACTGATAGACAAACATTGTACAGTGAACCTCTAGCTTAAAGGGACAAACATTGTACAGTGTACCTGTCTAGCTTAAAGGGACAAACATTGAACAGTGTACCTGTCTAGCTTAAAGGGACAAACATTGTACAGTGTACCTGTCTAGCTTAAAGGGACAAACATTGAACAGTGTACCTGTCTAGCTTAAAGGGACAAACATTGTACAGTGTACCTGTCTAGCTTAAAGGGACAAACATTGTACAGTGTACCTGTCTAGCTTAAAGGGACAAACATTGTACAGTGTACCTGTCTAGCTTAAAGGGACAAACATTGTACAGTGTACCTGTCTAGCTTAAAGGGACAAACATTGTACAGTGTACCTGTCTAGCTTAAAGGGACAAACATTGAACAGTGTACCTGTCTAGCTTAAAGGGACAAACATTGTACAGTGTACCTGTCTAGCTTAAAGGGACAAACATTGTACAGTGTACCTCTAGCTTAAAGGGACAAACATTGTACAGTGTACCTGTCTAGCTTAAAGGGACAAACATTGAACAGTGTACCTGTCTAGCTTAAAGGGACAAACATTGTACAGTGTACCTGTCTAGCTTAAAGGGACAAACATTGAACAGTGTACCTGTCTAGCTTAAAGGGACAAACATTGAACAGTGTACCTGTCTAGCTTAAAGGGACAAACATTGTACAGTGTACCTGTCTAGCTTAAAGGGACAAACATTGTACAGTGTACCTGTCTAGCTTAAAGGGACAAACATTGTACAGTGTACCTGTCTAGCTTAAAGGGACAAACATTGTACAGTGTACCTGTCTAGCTTAAAGGGACAAACATTGAACAGTGTACCTGTCTAGCTTAAAGGGACAAACATTGAACAGTGTACCTGTCTAGCTTAAAGGGACAAACATTGTACAGTGTACCTGTCTAGCTTAAAGGGACAAACATTGTACAGTGTGCCTGTCTAGCTTAAAGGGACAAACATTGTACAGTGTACCTCTAGCTTAAAGGGACAAACATTGTACAGTGTACCTGTCTAGCTTAAAGGGACAAACATTGAACAGTGTACCTGTCTAGCTTAAAGGGACAAACATTGAACAGTGTACCTGTCTAGCTTAAAGGGACAAACATTGTACAGTGTACCTGTCTAGCTTAAAGGGACAAACATTGTACAGTGTACCTGTCTAGCTTAAAGGGACAAACATTGTACAGTGTACCTGTCTAGCTTAAAGGGACAAACATTGTACAGTGTACCTCTAGCTTAAAGGGACAAACATTGTACAGTGTACCTGTCTAGCTTAAAGGGACAAACATTGTACAGTGTACCTGTCTAGCTTAAAGGGACAAACATTGTACAGTGTACCTCTAGCTTAAAGGGACAAACATTGTACAGTGTACCTCTAGCTTAAAGGGACAAACATTGTACAGTGAACCTCTAGCTTAAAGGGAGAAACATTGTACAGTGTACCTGTCTAGCTTAAAGGGACAAACATTGTACAGTGTACCTGTCTAGCTTAAAGGGACAAACATTGTACAGTGTACCTGTCTAGCTTAAAGGGACAAACATTGAACAGTGTACCTGTCTAGCTTAAAGGGACAAACATTCTTGTCTAGCTTAGAGGGACAAACATTATACAGTGTACCTCTAGCTTAAAGGGACAAACATTGAACAGTGTACCTGTCTAGCTTAAAGGGACAAACATTATACAGTGTACCTCTAGCTTAAAGGGACAAACATTATACAGTGTACCTGTCTAGCTTAAAGGAATTTGTACCCCTAAAATGTTTTGATGTAATAAATCAGCAGAATTTTGAATATAAGAAAGCAATTTAAGAACAATATTCTTCATAGACCATGTTTGCTTCTAAATAAAGTAAATATGAACAGGAAAATGGTATGAAAAGAGCAACATATGACGGCAGTGTTCAGGTGGGCAGCAAGATCTCCCTGCTTGCATGTATGTACATGAACACTCTAGCTAGGCCATATCTACAATCAACTATACCAACTCCAATGTCATTTCACGCAAGCTGGTAACCTGGTGTGCCCAAATCAAACATTTATATATCTGGTACTGACAGATTAACCTTGACTTCTTATCACTCCTGGAATTTCAGAAGAAACAGAACAAACAAATAAAGATTGATAGTTGAACTAAGAAACTAGCGTCTTTGTGACAACATATCTTGTGAATTGCCATGCCAGCGCTCCTAATGGTAACTGATCAATTATTCTCCACTGACGTAGCTGCATGCATTATGTCACTCAAGGAGAAATATGGATTCCTGAAAACTCGCTTTATCGAAAGGATCACCATCTTAGTGGGAGGTAATAGGTGGGTGAGTGAGTTGGGTTTAATGCTGCTTTGAACAGTATTTCAGTCATTCTGCACAGTGAATTGAGGCACCTTGGTTGACGGGGTACATGTGCCTCCGGGAGGAGTGAGTGATTGATTGGGTTACATGCCACTAGAACAGTTTTTCAGTTATATCAGGTCAGCTGAATCTGGGGCCCTGTGAAGATCTGGGTTAGAATAGATGTTCTGCAACCCATGCTTGCTGTAACAGGCCACTATGCTTGTCGTAAGAGGCAACTAACGTGATCGGATGGTCAGGCTCGCTGACTTGGTTGATGCATGTCATCGTATCCCAATTGTGTGGATCAATGCTCATGTCAATCACTGGATTGTCTGGTCCAGACTTGGTTATTTACAGACTGCTGTCATATAGCTGGAATATTGCTGAGTTCAGCGTTAAAAAACAAACAAACAAACAATCTTAATCTGGGTTGTAAATCCAAGTGATGCAGATTATAAAAACTGGTAGACCAAGTACCATCAATTACCAAATCATGGCACTGATCTATCCTGATATATCTTTCGACTACTCTTGTTTGTTATCACTGCCATTGTTATGGTAACTACGCCACAGGAAACCTGGCTCCTGCTGTGACAGGAAAGGCAACTGCCTAATCTTGAAGTACCTTGCACATTGTTTTTGTGATTCAGTAACTGATCACTTCTCAGCAGTGTTCCACGGACCCCGTTGGTCCTGCCATGGTTCTGCCCCTTGGCTGTGGGGAACGTGTTCTTAATAGGCCGCAGCTCATCCTTTTCCCCTTCAAAATTAACTGCAAAAGCAAAGCAATCATGCAAAGCCACATGCACATACAAGACACAGACAAGCTGCATTTACAATCTACACCTAGTGCTCCTCATGTATTGTATGACCGGCAAACTTTAGAAGCTGACAAAATGGACATAAATGATGGATAGCCATTACAGTAAAATATCACATTATGGCTGAAATATTGCCGACGAGACTTAAAATTAAACTCACTAAATTACAGTAAAATAAAGAAGTTGTTATCCATAAATTGTGTCTTCTTTGTTCTCATGTCTACTCATATTAAACAGTCCTATTTTCACATTCATCACCACTCGCCCTTTTCCGTAACCTGCCAGAAAACTTGTCCCCTTATCGATGAATGTTATGTGCGAAAATACGCCAAACCAATCAGAATGTGCGTATGATTTCAAGTTCTTCGTCAAAGAATCGCTCCGAAATAAAAAATTTTTTACAATTGTCTTGCATCTAAAAATATACCCAAGACACATTTAAATGTGTTCAATCATACTGTATAATTCTGCACATCCCGATGTGCTTTAAATTGCATCTGAAATATATATAATATATGGGAAATATATGTGAACCATTGCGCAATGAGTTGACAATTGTTTTAGGTATGCCCGTTTGCGCTAAGACAGAACCCGGTTGCAAAAATGGCCATGAGAGGGGCACGAGTCGCTATTCGGCTTGTCCAGGAATAACAAGAGTTGGTCACGAATGCTATTTTCACACAAAACGGCTAAACTCATACTTTTATCACTCAGATCATATAAGTACAAAAGTCAACTAGATGTCATGCAACACTTCCTTAAACCTAACTACCTCCTGTTCAGCATGCAAGCTAGTTCAATAAGACACTCAGTACAATAGGGAACGTTAACAACACACAGAAACAGAAGGTAATAGATATGTACTATAATTGAATCAAGTCATAGCATTATGAATGTTTTGTGCTGCATGAAATCTTTCATAAAGGGGTCCTGGGTCCTGGGTCCTCGAGGGCTACCACTGTAGTATCTGAATCTAAGTTATAAGATAAGGATAAGCTAGATGAATGAACAACTTCTTTATTACAGTTAGGAGCGACGTCTGTAGGTTCTTACATTGTTATCTGGTAAGTGGAGTAAGAAACTACACTGAAGCGTCGCTCCTAATTGTAACACAAATGTGGCTATATCCCCCGCCCCTGTTGCAGAATTTATGACATTATTAAATCTAAACAAACCCTAACCTTTTTTAACCGAGGTGGAACTTGTCATGGAAATTGTAAAAAAAAGAAAGTCCATCTTGTTGCCATGGAAACGTAAAAAATAAAATTTCTAAAATTTCTAAATAGCGAAAGGCACCAGTTCAGCATGTACTTGACAGACCTGCAAAGTTGCATGAAAAAATATTGAACGGTTTCTGAGTTATGCTCCAGAAACGAAACATGACGGACAGACGGACGGACAGAGCCCCTTTCTATAATCCCACCAACTTTGTTGGGTGGGGGATAATAATAAAGAAGTTCATCCACATACCTTATCCTTACTTAGTTCTCCAACTTCTAAATGCCTATCAAAGTAGTTATCTGAATCTAGTGACATAATAAATCCTCACGATTGATAGTAGGGTAATAACAAGTACACCTTGACTTCATTCTTCATTTGTCCATAGAATGAACAGATCCTTCATACATCCTTGAGTTACCATTAGGACATCAGAATTTACCTCAACAAGTGAAGTATAGCAATCTATTCCAGCACCAATGTGTCCAGTGTGTTACCTTTTTCCAGTGATATGGATCTTCTGGAGTTGTTCCTGCTGCTGGGCCTCCTGTTGGCGTCGATGTCCCGCAGTTTGAGCTTGTCCTTGTCCCGGTCGAAGTAGACTAGATCGGTGGTGGAGAAGTCCTCAGCTGGAGGGGCAGGCCGACTCGCCTCCGGGTTGTACAGCAGGTCTGCAGTGGAGAACGGCACTGTCGGCGTACTGGAAGAACTGAAAGTCAGACACGGATATTTAGACGGAGCAGAGTCAGGGGATCAAGTCAGCATTAGTGTCAAACCAGGATCTCTACCTCAGACACGACTGTTGCTGCTCCTTGGTAACTAAAAGCGACAAAACCTTTTCCCTATTAATGAGAAATCCCTGTTAAACGCAAAGTCGAGTGCACGATTCCGACTATACCGTGAGCAGGTGTTTTATGAATCACTATCAAATGGTGATGATACCAGATGTTTGGGAAAAGGTAAGCATATTAAGCCCTTGTGGTACCTGTAACAAACACATGCAAAGACAAGTCAATTAAAATTGAAAAGAAATTTATCCCATTTCTGAGGAACTGCTTCCCTGGTTCTGTAATTCTCCCAAAAAGATAATGCCAGAGGGTCACCTTACCATAAATATCCTCAACATGAAACTCTAAATACATCCTCAAGTAGATCCTTACAAGGACCAAGTTGTGCCCAAAACAATGAGCATATTGAAATACCTCAAAACCATAAATCTTATTAATGTACACATATAATGAACACATGACCAATAACCTCCAAGGCAGCCTTCCTTGCCACTGAATCAGTTTAATCAGCACTGCCACTGTTAATCTAGCCCCAGCACTGGGTGTAGTCAGATTTCAGCTGAGATTTCTCTATGGAAAGGCAACAGGCAATAAAGTAGAGCACTCATTCACCAAGTGTCATTCTAGATTGCCATCTCTTACAACGCCTCAGTAATTGGCGCTTGGTTGGATCAAATAGACCTCCATTGAGCCATGTAATCCTCAAGTCTTTCCAACAGCAGTACCATGCATAGACTCTGGTGCAGCTGGCGGAGGTGGTGTGGCCTTACTTGCTGTACATGTAGATATGACATGGCTTGTCTGGTTGACTATACTTTATCATTTGTAGTTTACTTATTGACAGCACGGTGTTGTCATATGACAAATCTATCTACTGCTTTAGTTGGTCATGAATTCAGGATTAGTGTTGCCATGGTGATACACACCGAAAAATGTTGGCTTTTAGATACACTGAGAACATTAACGTTCCCGGACGGGACTCAACCCCAAAAGTACAAGAATCTGTACTTGACCAAGAAAGTGTTATCCCAAATATAACATTTGTTACATTTGACCACTTTCTAAATGGCATTGCAGTGCTGTAGCCAGCCAGGGGGCAGGATGTTTTATATAAAACAGTTTTATTCGAATCAAGTTTGGGACAAGTGATACTTGTACAAATATTTGCCCCCCTTTTCCAAAAAAGTTAACTACGGCCTTGCATTGTGTGTTCATTAATGTTTCCGTTTAGTCACACTTGCAATATTTCTTTGTTTATAATTTGTTGATATTCACATTAAATAACAAGGTTTTTTTTCCAAATTTGAATACAAATATAGGTTTCTGTCAAACAATTTTGATCAGTAGAAAAAAACACAAAGGAAAGTTTGACCATGAATATCAATCTGGAACAATTCCTCATGTTTCTTATTGTATTCCAACCTTCCAGTCCTTCCAATCATAATAAAAAAATAAGTTACATGAACAAGAAGAAAATATTGGTGCAGTATTGAGGAAAACAGTATAAAAAACTTGAATTTTGTATTACCCTTCTGAAGACATAATCGTCAATCAAAATGGAAATAGAGCGTGGTCAAAAGAGGAGGACAAGAATCACTCTTTACATCATTTAGGTGATGACGCAAGGCATCTACACACAGGAACCATCCTATACATAACGACAGACCGCCTCCGTGGTCTAGTGGTAGAGTGTCCGCCCTGAGAGCGGAAGGTCCGGGGTTCGATCCCCGGCCGCGTCATACCAAAAGACGTTAAAAGATGGTACTTGTTGTTACCCTGTATGGCGCTCGGCATTAAGGGGCTAAAACAAGGACTGGTCGACTCGGAGTCAGTATACTGTGTCTGAGTGGGGTATTCGTGTTAAACTGCGGCATGGTATCTCAGTGTGCTAGCACTATAAATCGGCATCAGTCCGGACTAGTACAAGCAGCCACAAAAACACACACACGTACATGCACGTCGCTATATAAGTGCAATAATCTTGGCACAGCTCAGGGCCCTTGCCCCCTCTAAACGCAGCCCAGACCTTCCTTGTCAAATCCCAACCAGAACTTTTCAGACAATGTGAAACTCCCCAACATTGCAGCCTTCTGCATATTATTATTATTATTATTGTTATTATTATTATTATTATTATTTACCAGAATGTACTCACCGAGCAGAGAAATGCTAGCTATCAATTTCACCGCAAAAATGCAAGATTAAACTCGTTGCCTCACAACAAAATATGACCTTATGAAATATGAAATTTCAAACTCACTGAATTCATAATCAAATCCATAATAAATACGTCAACATGATCCCATACGGCTAATTGTTACTCACTTGTTCCGTACTGTTCATTCTTAAATCATTAATAAAGACAGTTCCCAACCAGAAGTGTCACATCACAGATGAACACCAGCCACTCATGAAGCAGCCCTAATGATGTAAGAAGCAATGCCGTTACATCGAGAATAATCACATCCCCTACCTGATGATGTTCAGAGATGTATTCCTAACCACACGTTATCCTTGTTTCCAGCACAACTAGCGACATCCAACAGTGTGCCAGTAACCTGTAACTGACTCAGCATGGAATACACATCAGATACACCCAGACTTGGAGAATGGGAGAGCAGATTGTCCTGGCAGAATAGACTAGGCACAACTGTTGGATCAATAACTTTGAGGGTAACCTAGTTAGCTGAATCCCATTCTCAACTTTCGAGGACAGATCACTCGCCAGCCTCAACACTAAAACATAACCTGTGTTCATGTCACTCTCAAAAACTGAATTTAAATTTAACTTTAGATCCATACTGCAAAAGGCCAGATCACACCTGAATTTGGCTTCGTAACTTCCCTTATATCAGCTCAGGGTTTATCAGTGAAGCGTAGAAAGGTGACACTCACTCTGTAAATGACCTGACATGAATAGGTTTGACTGGACTGAGGACAATCCATGGCTTGTCGGGGTATAAGAAGTCCAATTTCTTCCTCTGCATCAGGCTGGACAGTCCACTTTACCGGTGGACGTATCGACCAAGAGTCAGTGTAATAACGTCGGCATATTTTCCCCCAGTTTGTGTAAGCTCCATTGTGACAGTCACCAGGTTGAGTGGGCTAGCTTTGTGTCGGGTAGAACAACAGACTGGCGTGTTGAGTGTGTAACTCGTGTTTACTTTGCTTGTACGCAACACACTCCAGGCACTGGCAAGGTCAGCAGGGGACATAACTCTTGATAAGAGACTTTTGATAAGACCTGACACTTAGAGATAGTGCCAATAGAGTTTACAACTTGAAATGAATTGTACAATAGTAAAAAGACATTGGCAATGTATGTTACTGGGAATCATTGTGCAGCTAGATCTTATCGTTAAGGTAATCGTAAGTGATAGCATGCTGCTTGTTTGGACAATATAAGGTACACTGCACATGTGGTCTGTTATGAATAAGGGGCAAATTGGGTGATCCTAATGTGCTATAGAAATCAAGCGATCCCAAAACTGTGTGCATGTTCTGAACGGCACTTCAATTCTGCCTATTGAAGTATGTGAAAAGACAAGTGTTATACCAGATCCACATACAACCTGGGACCAATCCCTCTAAATGCTTGTTCAGAAAGGCTCCCGCTTCATAGCACATGAGTGTATACTAGTATGGGGTGCTGATCCTGTGTCAGTCATCACTGGAGACAGCCAATAAAGTCCTGTATCAGCATTATCATCACGAACATTCTGTACCAATCTTAAAATAATAATTTACTTATGGCGCAAGTCTTGAAGGGTGGTGGGGTAGCCTAGTGGTCAAAGCATTCGCTCGTCAAGCTGAAGACCAGGGCTCGATTCCCAACATGGGTACGATGTGTGAAGCCCATTTCTGGTGTCCCCTGCCGTTATATTGCTGGAATATTGCTAAAAGCGGTGTACCACTCACTCCTAAGTCTTGATGAGAAAGAGGGAGTAAGATCCCCTGTCCTTCTCCCATATCAGCCAGGCTAGGTCTAGACGTGAACTTGAGACGACTGTCAATATAAGGACTTACTTAGCTTACTACACCAAAATAGAGTTTACCAGACCTTTGGGCTAGTGGCTGAATTGGCATTATGATTAGAACTAATCCTGACAATGCAGTAGACAGCTGTCGAACAATGTGATGCAGTTCTTCCTGTGTATGGTCACAGGCCTTGATAATTATAAGGAATTGTGAAGCCATCATGCATTTGAAACATACCCTAAATTACATTAAGTATTTCGAAAAACAACAATATCCCAGAAGTATTACATACTAGGGCTGGGACGGGTAACTTGGGTACTCGGGTCGGGTGGGTACTGAGAAGGACCCGGGTACCCACAGAACTACCCTGACCCATGGTTGGTCATGTGATATATTGTTTAATGACAAAAATGATCTTGAACTATATCCTTACACCACATGTGACTAATGTTGGCATTTTTTTTTTTCTATGCACCCAGACGTTTATATGTCTGAATAAAGATAAAACTTCAGTCAACTTCAGTGTATGCATGACCAGATCGTTATATACGTGTCTCTAAATACATTTTGTCCAGGGCAACAGACAAACTATTCCCAATTGGAAATTTTGTACCTATCTCTTGAGACCTACAGCGGGTACCCAGGAAGGGTCGGGTAATAGGTCGGTGGGTACCAGGGTAGTAAATTTGTACTTGTCCCAGCCCTAATACATACGGCTGAGGATTCTATAAATCTAAGATATTTTCCTTCTCTGCTGGTTGGTTGGTTGGTTTGTTGTTTAATGCCGCACTCAGCAATATTCCAGCTATATGACGGCGGTCTGTAAATAATCGAGTCTGGACCAGACAATCAAGTGATTAATATCATGAGCAATTGGGATCAATGACATGCATCAACCAAGTCAGAGAGCCTGACCACCCGATCCCGTTAGTTGCCTCTTACGACAAGCAAAGTCACTTTTTAAGGCAAGCATGGGTTGCTGAAGACCTATTCTACCCCGGATCTTCACGGGTCTCCTTCTCTGCATTCTGGTTGTATGTTCAATTGATATCTACTGTGGCTTTGTAGTAAACTCATTCCAACAGTAAAACTGCACATGGAAATAGCCCTGGTATAAATCTCTGACATGAGAATATTGACAATCTGGCCCCCCTGGTACTGCACTGCTTGAGGCAGGTAGGGATCATCTATCACCATTATGTTCAGCAAGACAGGAGGGTCAATACCAAAAAGGGGAACCAATAACAACATTCGGCATTTCCCACAGCATATTTGTATAAGTAGCAGTGTTCCCCTTAACCGCTAATTACCAGTTTTTGACCAGTAAAATTAGGCTTGGACTGGTTATTCCTGTGACTGCCAGTCCCTATGGACCAGCAAATAAGATATCTTGGAAATCCTTGTTTTTGAACAAAACATTGTGGATAGTCAAAAAATGATACTTTTGAATGAAGTCTGCTTGTCTGTCATCAGGGCTTCCCGTTGTCTATTTTTAGTGCAAGGAAATAATATTTTGCTCAGCTTGAGATTAAATATCTATTTGTAGTGACTTAGTCTTGAATCAAAGTGAAATATTCAGAAAAAAAAGAGAAATTTGTAATTGAACTTAGTGTGGATGATGTAGGTCTCAATAAGTTACTTCAGAAATGACGTCACTGAATTTGTAGCCATGAAAGTAAACTGCATTGAAATAGATGTTTTTTGTTAACCAGGTAATTTTCATACGACATTTTTATGTTCAAAGATGGGACTGACAAAAATTGGGTGGGACTGGTATTTTTTATAGTTGTCACGCCACTTGGGCTGGCAGTTTAAAAATCTAGGTGGAACACTGAGTAGTATTCTAAAGCTCACATAATTAACCCTGAGGTTAAAAAATATGAGTCTTGGTTCTCATGCACCGGCAGGATCATCAAAAAGTCTGCCACACATTTTGTTTTTATTTCGAGTTTAAATATATATTTTTTTAAATCCTAATACTAAAAAATAATGCAATCCAATATAGCACACAGTTACTTCCCTTCACATGCGCACTGCTTTACTGCACATCTCGTGTTATGGTCATGGCGGCAATAGGAGTTTGTATACTTGTTTATGTAGGGAGGCCCTTTCCAAGGTTGATGGTACACAACTGTTTATCTGGTTACATACAATGTCTGCACTATATTTTCAAAAGTCATTGCCTGAGAACCAATTCTTTAATTTTTTTTAACCCTAATTTCAAACAAATAAACATACGCTTGCCACATATCATCGCAGTATGTCAATTTCAACAAAAAGTCACTACAAACACTATGGATGAAAGTAGCCTAGCAACAGCCTCACTTGTAATCAGTGTTCAACATGTCCTTGTCATAAAAATCAAACTATTTGGGCAGCGGTAGAAACTATCAGGTTTAGTCCACTAGTCCTTACAATGATAACATATAGCAAAACCCTTAAAATGGCAAATTTCTACTTGTCCTTAGGATACCTTAACTATTGGGCAGTTTGGCAAGGACTACAGGACTAGTGCCAATTTTTAACCCTGTTTGGGTGTCTCCAAATTCAAATACTTTTGCTGTCAGTAATTTTAGCCACAAGTCCGAAGACCGAGGCAAGTAAAATTCTGTATAGTCCAGTAAGCATGGTCAGCTCAACGAAGAGTCCATGTATTGACATTAAAATCAACCAAAAGTCATGTTAAGAACCATGTTTTGGTCTTGTAGACTCAAGGTTTTGGCGCTGATCGCTATAACAGAAACATAAAGGACATCGGGGCACCCTTATCTTCTAACACAAGTCATAAATACCAATCAGCAATGTAAAGTAACTGCACATCATAATTACCATGGGTTGTTGCCCGATGAATATAGCAATATAAAGTAACTGCACATCCTAATTACCATGGGTTGTTGCCCGATGAATATAGCAATATAAAGTAACTGCACATCCTAATTACCATGGGTTGTTGCCCGATGAATATAGCAATATAAAGTAACTGCACATCCTAATTACCATGGGTTGTTGCCCGATGAATATAGCAATATAAAGTAACTGCACATCCTAATTACCATGGGTTGTTGCCCGATGAATATGGCAATATAAAGTAACTGCACATCATAATTACCATGGGTTGTTGCCCGATGAATATAGCAATATAAAGTAACTGCACATCATAATTACCATGGGTTGTTGCCCGATGAATATGGCAATATAAAGTAACTGCACATCATAATTACCATGGGTTGTTGCCCAATGAATATAGCAATATAAAGTAACTGCACATCATAATTACCATGGGTTGTTGCCCGATGAATATAGCAATATAAAGTAACTGCACATCATAATTACCATGGGTTGTTGCCCGATGAATATAGCAATATAAAGTAACTGCACATCATAATTACCATGGGTTGTTGCCCGATGAATATGGCAATATAAAGTAACTGCACATCATAATTACCATGGGTTGTTGCCCAATGAATATAGCAATATAAAGTAACTGCACATCATAATTACCATGGGTTGTTGCCCGATGAATATAGCAATATAAAGTAAGTGCACATCATAATTACCATGGGTTGTTGCCCGATGAATATGGCAATATAAAGTAACTGCACATCATAATTACCATGGGTTGTTGCCCGATGAATATGGCCTCTCCTTAAATCGGAGATACTTGTTTTCCCCAAGCAGAGTATAGGAACATCTCCTGCCATAAATGTTCCGCAGGGACGCATTCCGTAGCATCCCATTGGTTGTCTTTGGTCGAGTGAGAATCGGCGTGACAACAAGACTAGAGGGAGTCATGATGATCACACGATCCTCCCCACACTGAAATGTCCGAATGTCTGTTTAGTTAACGCGCACAATATCCAAAGTAAGACGTATCTGTACCGCAGTCAGCTGCACATTGTCTACACATGAAACATATCACTGACTTTAAATCACACTTGCTCTGCCATCCAGGAGGGTTATGCTATTAACACAATGTTAATTATGTCATTAAGAATCATGAAATTCCATAACGACTTTGATAATCTCACAGAATGAAATAACCACAACCAGTTCAGCTCAAAAAGGGTTTTTTTAAAACATGTGCGCCAGAAATGAAAAGGTAACATTCTCTGCCATGTTTTTGACACTCTTCAAGCCATTGTGTTGAGATTGTTGACTGTGGTATGTTAACATTATCCTTGAGAACTCAATCTACATATCCAGCGTTACACAACACATAATATCCATTTCTGGTCACAGCATAGGTCATGAAGACATTGACAAAATGTCAACAAGTTTTCAAGTTGGTGATCCAAAATAATTCATGATTCACATATCTACATTGTCGATTTTATGACGCAGTGTGTAACAACCGCTTGTGACTGTCAAATCCATGCAGCACAATTCATCACAGAGCCCTCACATCACACGCTACCTCCAACAGTACATGTCTATTCCACTTCTAGTGAACACAGTACATGTCTATTCCACTTCTAGTGAACACAGTACACGTCTATTCCACTTCTAGTGAACACAGTACACATCTATTCCACTTCTAGTGAACACAGTACATGTCCATTCCACTTCTAGTGAAACCACCAGTTCGACCAGCTGTCCAACCAAGCAGATGACTGTTTGATGATAGGCTTATATGATTAATGTAAGAATCAAAACCGGCCATGTAACCATGTGTATTGGAGTGTATCTGATTGGAAGGTTATCTGATTAGGAATTGCTCAACAGCCCTCTGTCTACAATACACAGACTACTAAGCAGGGTGAGCCAATCCTGTTCTAATGCTATTGATACAAGGATTTATTCCTAAGGTAGTTGAGAGGCTATTGTCACATGCCTGACTTTCCCTCTCCTTGACTGGTGGTAGTTACTACAAACTATCACCCACTATACCACTCGCTATACCTACACACACAGCTCTGAATACCTTCTTCACTAGTGCCTGGCTACCGGAGTCATCTTGTCTTTACTTAAAGTCTCCATGATCGATGAGAAAATCCTCGTAAGAATATTCCTTTCATGTGCAAATTGATTTCTGAACTCTCCTCATTGATAGAGGCTCCACGACAGAATGAAAAGTTCAGCCCTAGGCTGAATATACATTTAAGTCTTGATACCTATTTCATAAACATGTCCCCAATTCAGACACTCTGCAATATGAAAGTGATAGCAGTACAAAGTCCTCAGAAAGAAAATAGCTTTTGTGTGTATGTAGCTCCTTAGTGAGCCAAGATATGACCCTTCTAGCAACGCGTCCTGGTACTAGATAATCTGTGGACTAGGAACTCTGCTTACCCAGGCCGGCACCTGAGATAGGAGGGTATAATCGGAAGGACTTTCATGCCCTCAAAATGTTACGACTTGCTGAACTTAAGGACAGATAGTGTAAGGAGCTGGTCACTTCTTGTAGTTAGTTTATCACATCTTCAGACAATACATCTTAAATCAACTTCAGAACCAGTATGACACAGACACAGCAACCGTAAGCATTCCGTCACCACTGTTCAAATTATAACACATGTCACATACAAACTTTCTTGACTACAACAAAAGACCACCTGAATTTATATTCAGTATATACATTCACGGTCCAGTGTTCTCAAATAGTCATACAAGTTAGGACGAAAAGCAAATTTCTGTTCCCTTAGCTGAGGATCCCGACTGAATTTTGCCTTGCTGGTATCAATACACAAGGAAGAATCTGACAGCCCCAAGGTTTGATGTGTCCATTATAATGTCTAGCTGTAACACACACAAGGAAATCAATGAAACTGTCTTCACATCATCACATCTTGCCGTAAGTTAGTCACAAGACGTCTTCCTGCCAGTGGCTGTATCAGGATATAACTCAGGAGTCCATTAGTCTACCTTGGATCAATAAACTTCTGTTAGTTCCTGTTTATAATAACATTGCATACATGGTGCCTTATTTTCCCTGTTCATTCAACAATTTTTTCTTTTGGTATCCATAAAAGTAGGATTAATCCCACTGAAACACCTTAACTAAAGATGTCTTTTTCCGCCTTTGCACATTCTGTTCCGTTTGTGGTGACATGCTGTTTCCCATGACAAACCTAATCATCACATCTACATGACAACTAATAACACTGGTCATAATGGATGCCTCCGGAGAATACTGTTACAACGTATGCCTCCGGAGAATACTGTTAGAACGTATGCCTCCAGAGAATACTGTTACAACGTATGCCTCCAGTGAATACTGTTACAACGTATGCCTCCAGAGAATACTGTTACAATGCTTGTGTCAATGATTTTGTGTCACATGGCGATCTCACGGCTCCAGACACAACACAATCCTGAATGCTTCATCAACCGACAGATTTATATCTTCAAGACAAGTCCCACTAGAGAAAATCAGCTCTGTTTCAGACTGTTGCCAATTTGTCGAAATTCCCTCTGCCAAATCTCTCGTTATGACTACACTAATATAGGAACTCAGCAGGGGGCTCTCAATCACATATATCAATAAACCTCCAAAATAGCTGACACCCAAATATCAGGTCCATTACCCTCAGGCACGACAACACGACCCTGTCTATCCAACCGACATTTAAATTCACTAAACGTAAGGTTGAACCAGGGTACGAAGCATGTAAAATATTTAAGCCTAGTTCTGACTGGCTGTGTGTTTATCTGATTAAGTGTCCATCCTGCCCTCCTCATACATTGTGTTGGGCAATGTTGTTGACTACACACACAATGGCCACTAAACTACATCTAGGCTGGGTGGCGTGTCCCTGCATGCGGAGGGACTGACCCCCTACCCTGCTCTCATTAAAGTCCCCCTCCTCCCAGATATACCCCGATCTCTAAGCATACGTTGATTCTATAAATCTAATAATCTCCCCTTAAAGAAAGCCATGCTCTCGGTGGTGTTTACGAATGATAAATGCAGTGATAACGTGCTTTTCAACCTATATAGCCATGTGACATGCTGTGTATTGATTTTCTTTCGGAGATAGATAAAGTGGTCATGAAGAATCCCTATGGTACGCTTAACATGGCTTTACAGGTTTAGCAGAGCTTTAAGAATACATTAGCAGCTTACATCTTTATATCCTTCACACCTAAATAATTATCCAATATGAAGGATTGTTAGGAAGTAATAGGATGTAACTAACTCAGTAATGATTCTTTTAAAAAATCTAAACAGCACCTTGAACTTCAAAGGGAAATCCAATAAGGTCTAGGCATCCATCATAAATTAAATTAATCTTTACCCAAAAAATAGCCTACTATAACAGGTAGTGACAAAACCTTTTCAGTCTACTAGCCTGAAATTATCTCTTGTCATCATTAGCATTAGCTTCAACTTTAGCCACTTGTCCGAAGCCCTCATCTAGTAAAATTCTGTAAGGTCAAGTGAGATCACCTAATAAATGCCACACGATAACAGTAATATCTACTGAAAATAATGCTCTGCACCAAGTTTGGGGTAGAAGGCTCAAGAGGTTTTGGCACAGACTGTCAATATATCAACTTAGCTGAGGCTGAAGTAAAGTTGCAGACTGCTATACTCGTTTAAAAAGTGTCAGACCATTTGCCTGATAGAGGTTTTCTGGTTGATATAAGATTCCATAAATGGTCACAAAAAATATAAAGACTAACACTTTAGTCCAAGTTGTAACCAACCTAGTTAATGTCGATTTGTCTATCACGACTTAAATATCCATTATAGACCAGACCTGTGAAGATCCGGGTTAGAATAGGTCTTCAGCAACCCATGCTTGCCGTAAAAGGTGACTATGCTTGCCGTAAAAGGCGACTAACAGGATCGGGTGGTCAGGCTCACTGACTTGGTTGATGCATGTCATCAATCCCAAGTGCGTGGATTGATGCTCATGATATTAATCACTGGATTGTCTGGTCCAGACTGGATTATTTACAGACCGCCGTCATATAGCTGGAATATTGCTGAGTGCGGTGTTAAACAACAAACAAACCAACCAAACCATTGTAGACCCTTACTCTTTGGTACAAAAAAAAGTAAGAGAATTGTTGAGCATGAAACACTTACGTTGTGGTTAATTCACATAAAACTCTGTAACCCGTCCCATCTGCAGCTACTACATGTCTCAATAAAATATCCCTACTAAACTTTCCTGAAGTTAATTATTCTTTTTCAATCCATTTGAAATTCACCCCAGCCAAATCCTGTAAAAAATGAAGATGTCTCATAACTCAGAAAATTTTAACTACACATACGTAGTTCACTTCTATACAATAATGTAAGTAAAACATTAAACATACCACAAAGAAAGTCAAATCTGTCTAAACAGTTGATACTTAATATGAATTAACTGGTCTGAACTAGAACCAGTCTATGGGAAAGGTAATTGTATTGGTACAGACTTGCAGTAAGTCTAAACTGGCACCAATCCCTGGGAAAGGTAACTGTTTCCTGGTACAGATTTGCCATAAGTATAGACTGGCACCAATCCCTGGGAAAGGTAACTGTGTCCTGGTACAGACTTGCAGTAAGTCTAAACTGGCACCAATACCTGGGAAAGGTAACTGTTTCCTTGTACAGACTGGCAGTAAGTCTAAACTGGCACCAATCCCTGGGAAAGGTAACTTTCTTTTTACAGACTGGCAGTAAGTCTAGACTGGCACCAATCGCTTGGAAAGGTAACTGTGTCCAGGTACAGACTGGCAGTAAGTCTAGACTGGCACCAATCCCTTGGAAAGGTAACTGTGTCAAGGTACAAACTGGCAGTAAGTCTAGACCGGCACCAATGCCTGGGAAAGGTAACTGTGTCCTGGTACAGACTGGCAGTAAGTCTAGACTCACACCAATGCCTGGGAAAGGTAACTGTGTCCTGGTACAGACTGGCAGTAAGTCTAGACTCACACCAATGCCTGGGAAAGGTAACTGTGTCCTGGTACAGACTGGCAGTAAGTCTAGACTCACACCAATCCCTGGGAAAGGTAACTGTGTCAAGGTACAAACTGGCAGTAAGTCTAGACCGGCACCAATGCCTGGGAAAGGTAACTGTGTCCTGGTACAGACTGGCAGTAAGTCTAGACTCACACCAATCCCTGGGAAAGGTAGCTGTGTCCTGGTACAGACTGGCAGTAAGTCTAGACTCACACCAATCCCTGGGAAAGGTAACTGTGTCCTGGTACATACTGGCAGTAAGTCCAGACTCACACCAATCCCTGGGAAAGGTAACTGTGTCCTGGTACAGACTGGCAGTAAGTCTAGATTGGCACCAATCCCTGGGAAAGGTAACTGTGTCCTGGTACAGACTGGCAGTAAGCCTAGACTCACACCAATGCCTGGGAAAGGTAACTGTGACCTGGTACAGACTGGCAGTAAGTCTAGACTCACACCAATCCCTGGGAAAGGTAACTGTGTCCTGGTACAGACTGGCAGTAAGTCTAGACTCACACCAATCCCTGGGAAAGGTAACTGTGTCCTGGTACAGACTGGCAGTAAGTCTAGACTCACACCAATCCCTGGGAAAGGTAACTGTGTCCTGGTACAGACTGGCAGTAAGTCTAGACTCACACCAATCCCTGGGAAAGGTAACTGTGTCCTGGTACAGACTGGCAGTAAGTCTAGACTCACACCAATGCCTGGGAAAGGTAACTGTGTCCTGGTACAGACTGGCAGTAAGTCTAGACTCACACCAATGCCTGGGAAAGGTAACTGTGTCCAGGTATAAGCTCCCCTATATATGTGAGGCTGTACAGCCCTGCCTTGTCCAGTCACGCAACATCGTGTGCCGGAGACACATGAAGCCAAGCTTCAGTACCTACACCGGTCAGATACAACACCACTGAGATCACATGTATCTGTAATTACACATCTGGGACACTAATTTGTAGTTTAAGAAATCAATCATGAATTATATTTGTGCAAATCTGTCACTATTTTGAGTTAATTGTTGGTTTGAATTACAAAACAAGCAAGAGATGTCAGTTATGAACCAAGACATGTTCAGTGCTGCAATCAATACAACGCTAGGGGTAAATGTTTGTATGTGGATCTGGATACACTATTGACAGAGTTGTCACTGATGTGGCCTAACAAACCTCAATATCAAATCCTGTTTACTCACATAGTTTTTCTTAGTTTAAAGTTACTTTCAAATAACAAAGACAAATAACCTATGTAATAATGAACACTAGTAACCTATGTAATAATGAACACTTGTAACCTATGTAATAATGAACACTAGTGACCTATGTAATAATGAACACTAGTAACCTATGTAATAATGAACACTAGTAGCCTATGTAATAATGAACACTAGTAACCTATGTAATAATGAACACTAGTAGCCTATGCAATAATGAACACTAGTAACCTATATAATAATGAATACTAGTAACCTATGTAATAACAAACACTAGGAACCTATGTAATAATTAACCTATGTAATTATGAACACTAGTAACCTATGTAATAATGAATAATAGTACAGGTAACCTATGCAAATGAACACCACTAACCTATGTAATAATGAACACTAGTAACCTATGTAATAATGAACACTAGTAATAATGATAATAATGAAAACTGCTAACCTATGTAATAATGAACACTAAGGACCTATGTAGTAATGAAAACCTGTAACCTATGTAATAACAAACACGAGTAACCTATGTAAAATGAACACCACCAACCTATGTAATAATGAACACAAGTAACCTATGTAATAATGAACACTAAGAACCTATGTAATAATGAACACTAAGAACCTATGCAATAATGAACACTAAGAACCTATGTAATAATGAACACTAATAACCTTTGTAATAATGAACATGAGTAACCTTTGTAATAATGAACATGAGTAACCTTTGTAATAACAAACATGAGTAACCTTTGTAATAATGAACATGAGTAACCTATGTAATAACAAACACAAGTAACCTTTGTAATAATGAACATGAGTAACCTTTGTAATAACAAACATGAGTAACCTTTGTAATAATGAACATGAGTAACCTTTGTAATAATGAACATGAGTAACATATGTAATAACAACCACGAGTAACCTTTGTAATAATGAACATGAGTACCCTTTGTAATAACAAACACTAGTAATCTACATAATAACGAACGATAGTTCACTACATAATAAATGTAATAATGAACACTAGAAACACTTATAACCTCTGTAATAATGAACACTTGTAACCTATTGAATACATGTTAATTACACCAGCAGCAAATATATTACACAGTTCATGTGTAAGTATGTTCATGTATATCTATACACACATGTTCATGTGTAAATAAGTGCTTGCAAATCTGATCTTACTGAAAGATATGAAGAACAAATGTTAACCCTACATGTGTAGAAGTACAGGCTTTTAACCATGGAGGATTAACCTGATGTTGGTTGTTCTGTGTCGAAGTTGCTTATTATTAAAGGGTTGGGTAATAAAGGGTAAAGGGTTGGTAAATATTCTTCCTGAATAATGGACTATATTGATCAACTATAAGATAAAAGCCAAAACTCAGTTACTGTATTCGACGTAATAAGCACCCAGGGCGCTCTCAAAATAAGAAATAGGGGGCTCTTACATATAATTTTGTT